TCATTCATGTGTACCCCAATAAAGATTGTGAGTAATAAAGGAATTCCATATCTTTTAGTTTCTATACATCTACCTTCATGTGACTTGGTTTAGGGTACACTGATCATTATCTTTATCTATGTCTTTACAGCTAAAGAAAGACTCTATCCAGTTGCCGATGCAACTACCTTCTTTACTGATATGCACTACATCCTTCGTGTGTTGGCTGCTGGGGATATCCGAACCGTGTGTCATCACCGTCTAAATCTTCTAGAGCAGGTGATTCTTTGTGTTTTGTTCTTTCAACTGCATGCTCTTTCTGCATGAGTCTTAGCCAATGATGCTCTGACGACCAAGCCTGTTCATCGAAGCATGCAATGGTCTATGTTGATTCATTTGTATATGGTGTGTGCCACTTTGGTTCAATTATTGGGATAACTGATCATGGTACCCCAAAACCTAACCCAAATCCGTTCAATTATGAATATCAGGCTAAAACTGATGTAAGTGCAGCTCTTCAGATATGAACATGTTTGGTTGCTTGCCTTGCTTGGCCAGGCAACAATCCAGGCCCTTGATTTCTAGTGCTTGGCTGCCTGGATTTGTTGCCTGGCAGGCATTTGCCTACCAGGGTTCAATCCAAACAGGCTCGATAATCCTTTTCTTTTACTGAAAGCTGTGAGGGAGTTACTCACAGTGAGAGTCTTCCGTTCTGGAGAACAAAAGCAAAATATTTACAAAGAGACAAATTAAAGGGGGCTACTAAGACAAAGCAACTACAAGGTTATGAGTGGGGCTACTAGGAATATACATCCACATACAAGCTAGCTTGATTCATAAATCTTACTAAGGTTGATGTCATATAGCGGATGTGTCCCAAACCAGGCTTTCAAGCTTGGTTGATTCATGAATCTTACTGAATAATATGGTGCATGTATATATTGACTCTTGCTTATGTTCACTCTTGTGTATGTCAGAAATTTAATCTTCATTTGATGGTCAATACGGATAGAGAACTGCTTGCTCAGAAAGCTGCACCTCACCGGGACTTCTACAACGTTAGGAAGGTTGATACTCATGTTCATCACTCAGCATGCATGAACCAGAAACACCTGTTGAGATTTATCAAGTCTAAGTTGAGGAAGGAACCTAATGAGGTACATACACTTTTTTTTTTTGGTTTCTGAAACTTCCCTTATTGTCTCACGTCATATCTAATAGTTCTTCACCTGAGATCTGGGATGTGTTCTACGTCTGACTTAACTCCAAAATTGGAATTTGTAGGTTGTAATATTTAGAGATGGGACCTATTTGACTCTTAAGGAGGTTTTTGAGAGTTTGGATTTGACAGGGTAACTTCTAGATTTGACTTTGCTTGTGTAAGTCTTTCAGTTACCAGTTTTGACGTAACTCATTGATTTCTCTGCCAGGTATGACCTCAATGTTGATCTCTTAGATGTCCATGCTGATAAGAGTACATTTCATCGTTTTGACAAGTTCAATCTGAAATATAATCCATGTGGTCAATCTCGCCTGAGGGAGATCTTTTTAAAGCAGGATAATCTTATTCAAGGTACAACTATTTTGTGTAGATGTCTTTCTGTCTCAGTTGTGGTGCAACTGTTATTCACATGCTGCATTTATCTCATGGTCAATGTAAACCTGACAGGTCGCTTCCTTGCTGAGCTGACAAAAGAAGTATTTTCTGACCTTGAAGCAAGTAAATATCAGGTGTGTTATTCTTTCATAACTTGTTTTCTAAGTACTGGAACTAGTTTATCTGATTAGTGATCTTTCTAGTATGCTATCTTATGGATTCTAGCTATTCATTCTTAAGTACCCAGCTAATGACTCTTGCAATTACCTTCATCAGATGGCTGAGTATCGGATATCTATTTATGGGAGGAAGAAAAGTGAATGGGACCAAATGGCAAGTTGGATAGTGAACAATGAATTATATAGCGAGAATGTTGTTTGGTTAATTCAGGTTGATACCCCCATCCCTCTTTTGTCCAAGTGTGTTCAGTAACCAAATATGCAACTCTGGCTAGCCCACAATGGAACAAGAGTATAGTTTATGTGCTTTATTATTTGTTTCATTTTTCTCTGCAGATTCCTCGAATATACAATGTATACAGGGAGATGGGCACAATCAATTCATTCCAAAACCTCCTCGACAATATTTTTCTCCCTCTTTATGAAGTAACTGTTGACCCAGCTTCACATCCTCAGCTCCATGTTTTCTTAGAACAGGTTAGTGGAAATACTTGTATGTCCACCGAATGGGTGGTTTCCACCTGATATTTGTTATATTTTGTTAGGCATTATTTACATCATTTTGAAGGGCAGGTCTGGTGCAGTGGTGAGAGTTGTCTCATTGAGTCACCAGGTCGCGGGTTCGAAGCAGCCTCTCCGCAGATTTTGCGGGGGGAAGGCTTGCCTCGGTTTTTCCCTTCCCCAGACCCCACTCATGTGGGAGCCTCCGGCACTGGGTCTGCCCCCCTTATTATTTACATCATTTTCCTTTATTTACTTCAGGTTGTTGGGTTGGATTTGGTGGATGATGAAAGCAAACCTGAAAGACGCCCAACGAAACACATGCCAACACCTGAGCAATGGACTAATGTTTTCAATCCAGCCTATGCATATTATGTGTACTATTGCTATGCCAATCTGTATGCACTGAACAAGGTACATCTTTTTGTGCATGGAGTTCTTCATCATGTGCTCATTTAAGGATAAGTAACACAGAAAATCCTCTGCAAAAAAAAAAAAAAATAATAGTGTTGTTCTATTTTTTCACAAAATAAATTTTAGCTTGCAGTTAGCTTCTTGTTCAACATTTTCATCTGGTTAAATTACAGTGGTTGATTTGAAATTTGTTGCGAGTGCAGCTTCGTGAGTCCAAGGGCATGACAACAATCAAACTGCGTCCACACTGTGGGGAGGTATGTGCCTAACATAGACTATAAATCTCCAGATTGAACTTGAACATAGTGATCTGATTATTGTTATCTTCAGGCTGGTGATATCGATCACCTTGCTGCAGCGTTTCTTACTTCACATAACATTGCTCATGGGGTGAACCTAAAGAAATCCCCTGTACTTCAGTACTTGTATTATCTTGCTCAGGTTAGTGATAGTATTTTTGTGTTGACTGAACATCCATTGGATTTTGATATAGTTGCTTGAGAGGAACTAATTAATTATCTTCTGTCTTGCTGTATACAGATTGGTCTTGCAATGTCTCCCTTAAGTAACAACTCACTGTTTATCGACTATCATCGGAACCCTTTCCCAACATTCTTCTTAAGAGGTCTTAACGTGTCTCTTTCGACTGACGACCCTCTACAAATTCACCTGACAAAGGAACCTTTGGTTGAAGAATACAGTATTGCTGCTTCAGTAATGTCCCGCCCTCCATCCCTCTATCTCTGTTATCTGTTTTCCCACCCAGATGTTCTTAGTTTGGATTGCTTGTTGCTCTTGGCAGCTTTGGAAGCTGAGCTCATGTGACTTGTGTGAAATCGCTAGAAATTCTGTCTGCCAGTCCGGTTTCTCTCACAGGCTCAAGGTATAAACTACTGATTTATATGGCCATTTGTTGTGGGTCATGGATGGATTTTCCATCTCTTTTTTCCCCCCCTGAGCTCTAACATTGTCTGTTTTAGTCTCACTGGATCGGGAGAAACTACTACAAAAGGGGTCCGGAGGGCAATGACATCCACCAGACAAATGTTCCTCACATCAGGGTTGAATTTCGACACACTGTATGTACATCTGTATTTAAATGGTGTCTCTTCATAAGTTAGCTTGTAGTATCTGTTTATGATCTATCTTCTCCTTACCCTGGACTGCAGATCTGGAAAGAAGAAATGGAGCTGATACATTTTGGAAATGTTAAACTACCCGAAGAAATTGACAGGTGAAGAAGAGTACGGGAATTGTGATGGCGTCGCAGTGAAGTGTGGCAGTGGCTGTAACTGCAAGGGAGGAGAAAAGGTGTCAGCATGATCCTGCCTTTCGATGAATCTCTTATTTGCAGAGGTATCATGACTATGATGTCGCCAAGTCCTACTAGTATACTCGCTCTGTGCCTAGGCCATACCATATATGAAGAATAAGTCAGAAAGCACAAATACACCTAGTATTTAGAAGCGTTGAATCCAGATGTGCCACATGAGGTGGGAGGCAACGCATGATGTACTTCCTTACGTTTATATACGTGTACTGCTGTAATGGTGGATCGACGAATGTCTGTCATCTAGTCTAGTATTTTGTTAGCCAAATTGTATGATAAATTAATGAGTTATCCAAAAAAAACTTATGTTTTATACTAATAAAAAAATCTTTATTAGGGAAAGAAGTGAGAAGGCGCACCATGTGAATAGAATGAAATAGGGGTTAGTGATGTGTTTAGCTGTTTGCGGTGGAAGGGGAGGCAGGTCAGGTGCAAATGAATGAACCTTTTGGCCTTTTGGGATGGAGAATTGGACGGAGCACGACTCGCCACTGCCTCCCTCTGTAGAGCAGAGACGGAGGAGGGCAAAATCTAAAATTGGAGCATCTGCAGCTTCTTGATTTTTGCTTGCCGGACCACAGTTTCTTCTTGATTGAATAATCATAATTTTCTCATGTGTGGTGTGCTGCTTGACAGATTGACTTTCCTAGCTGTCATCGCAAAAGTAGTACGTAATGCATGTAACAGTGATACAGGAAGGGAAAAAGAAAGAAAGGTCAAAGCTGCATGCCAAAATTGAATGATGATCTTTCTCTCTTTTTTGGATGAACTATGATGACCTCTCTCTCTCTCTAAACTAAAAAGGAAAAGTAATTGCTACTGCTAGTCACAATTAAATCAGCAATTTTTTTACAGAAATTAGAAGAGAAGACCTGAGCTGCTTGTTCCCATGCATTTCTCAAAATGAAACGAAGAAATGATCTACAGTAGGTATCCTGGGTTTAGGGAGAAGAGAAGAAAGTACTCGCTCAACATAGGGAGGGCAAAAAATGGAAAATGGTCAGTGATCCTGGGACGACGAGGAGGGCGGGCTTGGGGATATGATGTGCGCGTAGAGGAAGTGGTTCCAGGTGTCGGGGAGGCCCGGGAGGCACCAGTGGATGCAGTCGGCGTAGGTCTTGGGGTCGGCCTGCTGCTCCGGGGTGAGCAGCTTCCCCTGCCGCAGCGTGTGCACTGAGGTGTGCGCGTCCTTGCGCAGCTCCGACAACCCCGTGATGTCCACGAACTGCACCGGCACGCGGCGGAGGTAGCGCGCCAGCACCCCGCGCGCCACGCCGTGCAGCCGCCAGTCTGTGCCGATGTCCAGCCGCCCCGTCCGGTTGTTGCTGATCGGCTGCGTCTCCATGGCACACTTGATCCCGCCGTTGTTGCCCCACGCCCACGGCCTGCAATGCAATCATCAGTCGTAATCGGCAATCAGTATCACATTCCCTTCCCAGCCTCCAAGGCGTTAATGTAATATTTAGTATTACAGCTAGGGGGAATCTTGTGGAAGCCGAACCACTGGTGGTGCAGTGGTGCTTGTTCTCTTTTGTTTGATTTGATGCAAAGAAAAGATTCATCTATAGCTTAGAGCTTTTGCGTCCCTCCATGGAATCTAGTGGACCACCCTCTTGCTTGCCCTTTTGCGTCCTGACAGACAGGCATTCCCTTCCTCCCTCCCTTTCAAGTTTCAAGCACTAGAGCACTCCAAATAATCTACAGAGTGGAAGCTGCCTTTGTGTTATTAATAATTAAGTACTACTAGGCAAGGGCAATCCTCCTAAAATTAACAAGCAGTAGCTTGGTTAGTTCCTCGTGAATTGATTCCCCTGGCCTGCTTGGGAAGCAGATCCATGGACCATGTTGTATCCTTGCGTTTCTCATCCAGTCCAGTTGTAGTTGGGCAGTTTCTCACCCTTTATTACTCAGCAGAGAGGAAAGGAGAGGAGACGAGAAGCACGCGAGAAAAGAAAACACTCATCTACGGAATGGAGTGGAACGGAACGGAAGGGATGGTCAAACTGGAGGAGGCCCAGAAGATAGAGGCCAAGTCACGGCATGTTTTCGGTTACCCAAATTGCCAGGAAGCCCTGTGATGTGATTTGATTCCCCAATTTCCAAACGGTGACGCTAGTGAACAGACTAGCAGCCATGGCACACCGCACACCTACCAACCCAGCACATACTGCACACACGACGAAAGGAGGACGAGGAAAACAAGACCAAGATGAAGGGGTGGCGTGATGTGTGTGCTTACGTGATGTGGTTGGGCGACATGCCCATGAAGAAGACTCTGGTTCGGTTGGGGTCGATGTGGCGGTCCACCCACTTGGCCCACGTCTTGAGCACCTCCCGGTAGGCCACCGGCCGGTCCACCAGCGCGTACTTGCTCCACCTCTCCTTTTCCTGCTGCTGCTGCTGCTGATGGCCACGGCGACTAGTGCCTTTCCTGAGCACACATTACATTACAATTTCATCTCGTCTCAACAAACACGCTACACTACAGAGTATAGACAGACCAAGTAGTAATGCAAGGTAATAGTAGTAATCATCATGTGAGACGTACATGACTTTCATCTCGAATGTGTTGAGCCACCAGATGTATGAGTTGAAGACGAGGTAGTCGACGCCCTTCCAGTTCTTGGCGTGCTTGGCGATGGCGCGCCAGGCGATGACACGGTCCATGATGCTGTGCACCTGTGGGTCATCCGAGTTGGACTCCACCAGGAAGGGCGCCCAGTAGAACTCCACGGTGGCGTTGTAATCCTGCCATTAATTTTGCATTGCATTGCATTGGTTACCATTAGGATATAAGCGCAGCATACCATAGCATTGCATTGCACTGGTGGTGATGCACAGTCACAGATGACAAGCAAGAAAGACGAGCAGAGCAGCCGATCGATCGATCCATACATACATGCGCCGTAAATACGTTGAGCGATCCGTTGTTGACGAACTTTTGCAGGGTCTTGTGGCCCCAGGGCACGACGGACTGCACCAGGCACACCATGGACTCCCACTGGTTGCGGTTCAGCGAGTCCCCCACGAACATGAGCCGCTTGTTGCGCAGCCGCTCAAGCAGCAACCGAGCATCATACCTGTCCATCACAATTCACACACAACAATTAATCTCCTGCATCCATTTGAGTTAGTCAGGACGACATGGATGCAAATATGCAATGGAGCGAGTAATAAATGAAGAAACGATCGATCGACCAGGTATGGCACGGTCCATCATACAACAAGTGAAGTGATGCATGTGTTGTGTTCCACTTTGGGTGGATTGGAACTCAACTGACTGCGACCCCTACCTTACCTAGAACAATGTGGGAGAAAGAACCACAATCCCACTCCCACAAAACCAGGCCAGGCATGATTGACAGCTGTGAGTGAGTGAATTGGAAACAGCTCCAGGTCCAGCCAAGATCAAAGTGAAGGACCTCAAATAACATAAACTAATGGAGCACGATTACCATTTCTGAATGGAACGCAGGGTGATTAAGCAAGGCACTAGTGTTAGCGGATGAGTAGTAGTATTAATAACCTTATGTAGTATAGGAAGTAATGTAGTGGAGTAAAAAAAATCCCAGTTGCCACCAGACTATGACTGAGGGTTGAGGCGCGTGCAATGTGCATGCATGGGTGTGTGTCGGTGCCGGTGGATCACGATTTGCAGCTGCAACATTCTACTACTGTTTTTCTAGTAGTACTGCTCGCTGGGCTTATAGGCCGGACTTTTTCGGCCATCAACCAGCAGCCAAGCCAACAGGCCAAAAATTCTGCGGCATGTGCGCTAGTACCAGGGTGTTTGGTTCGAGTAACTAGAGGACTAAAGCTTTTTAGTAGCTTTTAGTCATAGCATTTGATTAAAAAGTTATTAAAATACCTAAAAACTACTAAATTTAGTAGCTCCTAGCGAACCAAACAGGCCCTTGTACTGTTTACTACTGCCAGTGCAGAGCACATGGGGATCTGAGATCTCAAATCTACTTGCATTTTGACCGATCGAGCGACGATTGTTTTACTACCAGAAGAGTCTATTCCAATGTGCATTTCATCAGACGAATCACTACTTGAGATGGCAATGTTCCTCCTATCTAATGGAATGGAATTGCAATGCAACTGCCGGAAACGAGGACGAAGCCGAAGAACGCAGCAGGGCAGGAACGGAAAGGTCAAAAGGGAAGAGGGATATCGGGACGGGACCCCGCCCCGCCGGAAAAGCCAAAGGAAGGAAGAAGCGACCAAATCTCACTCTCCTCTTCGGTGCTCCGCCTGCCTGTGATACAAGAATCATTTCACTCATGATACGGAGAGAGTGCAATACGATGTACTCCACGCCACGCGTTTGGATAACCAACCAAGCAAGCGAATTACAGCTTGGTCGATGAAACGAAAACACAATCGCAAGCGAGAAGAGTAGGATAGGATAGAATTGAATCAAATGAATTTAATGATTGCTGCGAAACTGATGAACCAGTTCGTCGTCAATCAGTCACACGGCGCCGGCGCGCACAATGGAAAGGAAATGGAGGCGGAAGAGGGGGGGTACGGTACCTGGGCAGGTCGCATCCGTCGGGTTGCCACCGCCACTTTTGGTACGAGTCGTCGCGGCGGCCGTTGCGCATGCACGTCACCTGCTCCGTCAGGAACTCGCACTCCGACTCGCGGTACAGCGGCGCTTGCTCGCCGGCCGCGTCGAACGTCCAGCGCCCCCGGTACAGGTCGCACCCGGCAATGGCAGCGGCAGCGGCATCGGCAACGGCCTGGGGCGGCGGCTGCTTCTGGGTTTGCTCCTCCTGCTGCCTTTTAGTATTCTCGACGAGTTCCTCCTCCGGCACTACTCCCACGGGGAGGGCCAGGGGCTGCTGCTGCTCGTGCTGGGCTTCCTTGCGATCTGGATCCTCCTGCTCCTCGGCTTCCTGGCGCGCGTGAAGGGCGTCCGCCTCCACGTCCTGGTGCGCCGCCTCCTGCAGCACCCGCAGGTCGGGTGACCTCGCCCGCCCGGAGGCGCCGACCTCAGCAGCGGCTGTTGTTGCTGCTGAGCCTGAGCTGGAGCCGCTGGAACCGGAGGCGGCCTTAACCACGTCCTCGCTGTAGAGTAAGGTGGCGATGAGGAAGACGGAGACGACGAGGCCCGCGAGCGAGAGGCGCGCCGCGGGCCTGCGCGCGGGCGGCTGCTTGGCTGCCGGCGGCGCCGCGGCGGAAGCGGGCTTGCGGCGGTGCTGCATCGCATCCGAGGGCCGAGGCGATGGTGATGTGATCTGAGTCTGATCTGATTGATCTCCGTCCGCGCACTGCCCAGCCCCAGCCTGCCTCCCTCCCTCCCTAGATTAATCTATCTATCTACTATGCTTGGTTGCTTGCCTGTTCCGGTGGAGCTGCTGGGACTGGATCGAGTAGGATTAGCAGCAGCCAGCAGCCAGCAGCCAGCAGTCAGCAGGGGGGATCCAATCCAAATCCTCCCCCCTTGCTAGCTAGCAACTCCTAAGGTAAGGTAAGGTAGCTGCCAACTAAAAACTACCACAGGATACAATACAACAGAGAATAGACGGAGGAATTGGATTGGTTTGGATTCACGGGACGGGAATTGGTCTTGTGCGGAGGTCGCTTGGCTTGGCTTGGTTTGGTTGCTTCTTCTTGTTTGGGTTGGCAGGCGCTTGGCCGGCCGGCCGCCTCACCACTGATAGATCTCGCTCGAGGAACAGCGCAGCCGCAGAGACAGGGGAGGGGAGAGGCGAGAGGAAGAGGAAGGCACTGCAGAGACAGGAAGACGTTCAAGCGCACCGCAACGGCAGGGGATGGAGACGGAATCCGTCCCCCAGGCCAAAAAAAAAGGCAAGAGGAAGAGGAAGAGTAGCTCTGTTTGGTATAGATTCAGCCGGCTCCTGCTCCTTCTGACACGAGCTTGCAGAAACACTGTGCGAGCACTGTACACGAAATCTGTTTTTCTCTCTCATCTCCCTCACTCTCACTGACACACGTAGAGCTACGGGAGCCAAAGCCCATGTTTAGCGGCCTGTTCGGTTGGCTGGTTCGCTGCTACAGTAGCCATGGGAGGGGGCTGGCCAGCCAGCCTAGCCAGCCATAGCCCAGCGAATGAGTGGTAGGTCCTGTTTGGTTGAAATTGTGGTGGTTGTGGAAAAAAAGCTGCTTAATGGTTGTGAAATTGTGGAAAAGCTATTTGTAAAATTTGTGAAATTTGTAGAAAAGCTAAAAATTTGTTTGGTTAAACAAGTATAAAATATACCTTTTATCTTTATCTCTCTTGAAACAACTATGGAAGAGTTTTTTATTCCACCAATTTCAAAAGCAGAAAGCCAAAAGTCAAAAGGATCAACTCAAACTTTCAAAAATGAATCTACTTTAAAAGCAAATTGCTTCTAAAAAAGCATCATCCAAAAGCAGCCCCTTTTTCGTTTGGCTTTTTTTTTTTTTTTTGAAAAGCCAAAGCCAAAAGCCCAACCAAACAGAGCCTTAGTTCCAACCAAAATCCAAAAAAGTACTATAGTAGCCATCATATTGAATATTTGCGGCCTGTATATAGAGCATTAAATATAGATAAAAAAACTAATTGCACAGTTTGATAAGAAATTACGAGACGAACGTTTTGAGCCTAATTAGTTCATATTTAAACACTAATTGCCAAATAAAAACGAAAGTGCTGCACTGTCCCAAAATTTCAACTTCCTGAGGCGATTTGGCTTCTCCGGCTCCTACCGTCTGTCTGAGGGGAGAGGAAGGAGAGAGAGATTTAGCTCCCATAAATAGTGTCGCTACAGTGAGAGATCCATGCCAAACGGGCCCGAAGACCCTCTCTCTGGTGTCCCCGGTCCCCTCCCCTCTTCTCTTGTGTTTTCTAATTATTTCTCGTATACTGTACTGTATGCCACACCACATGCGTCCTGCTCCGCACACGCAGCCTGAGGTTACCAAAAAATTATTCCACGACTAAATAAAATTTCAACCCTGCGACTACGATGCGAGATTAGTCAACAAACAAACATAATAATTTCTATTTCTATATCCCTCGATGGCTCCATCCAAAATTTCTTTCTTTCTTAAGCCCTGTTTGGCACGGCTTTGGCTCGTAAAAAAATAGCTCTGTCTCTGGCTCGTATGGAAAAGCAGTTTTTTTCTGACTCTAGCTTATTTTGTACAAAAACGTTTAGCAAAACGGCTTCTTCTGACTTTTCAGATTGGAAAGAAGATGTCAAATGTCCAAAATACCCTTATATTTCTTTTTTCTCTTTTCTTTTTCTTTTTTTCTCTTCATTTTCCTTTTCATTTTCTTTCCTTTTCTCCTTCTCTCTCCTTATCCGATCGGCCTTCCCTTCTTTTCCCTCGGCTTGTTGCTTTTGAGCTTGACGTAGTGGCTCTCACTTGTCTTGCCATGCCGCCGCCATGGTGTCCGGCTGCCACCACCCCGCCATAGCCTCCATCAGCTGCCTTAGAGCTCATGAGCTTGCTTGATGGTAAATGTTGTCATTTCTGTGAAATAGCAAGGGCACATTAGTATTTTGGGTGGAGGAATGAGCCGGTATGAGCCACTATTTTTGGCTTCTCATCGGCGGAAGAACCTAGAGAGCGGAAAAGGTGGGGCTTCTCCTGGCTTTTCCTCATGAGCCATTTTGAGTTATAGCGTTTGGCAGGGCTTCACCATGAGCCGCTCAAGAAGCCGCTCGATGAACCCTGCCAAAGGGGGCCTTATTATTGGTGATGTGCAGGGCCACGCAATGCCACGTCCTGTACTCCTCCTCCTGTCTTTTTTTTCCCGTTGCTCCGGCGACGTCACGGTGACGTTAGAGAGAGTAGCTTTGGGAGGAGGGACTTAAGGATTTTATTTTTGGATTTTGGACGACTCGCACTCTTCACCTAAACCAACGTTTATATATTTTCTGAAAGATAAAACCAACCTTTATATACACATACAGTTACACATTTATTTAAACGCTAGCCATGCAGCATCCATGTCCATTTAATTAATCGTCCACTGCTTCTCTCGATTTAAACTGATACATAGATGACCGGCTACTAGTGTTCAGTTTTTATGTGAGCCATCATCGCTCGATTTGAGGAGACTCGGAGGAGCAATCTGATAAATTTCCATGCATTAATTAATGAATGAATGGATGGATGCACGCTGCGCCGTGCACGTACACATTGCTGCAGCTAGCATGCAGCCTGTTCGCTTGCTCGTAAACGATCGTAATTTTCCAGCTGGGAACAGTGTTTTTCTCTCATACCAAATCAGCCAGCAGTAAATAATTCACGATACGATACGGCCTCCCGAACAGGCTGATGATTGGTTGATTCACGTATTCCGCTATCTACGCCATTATGCATGCATGGTGATATGATTATGCAATCACATACACTACTCCTACGCTTCACCTTCAACTCCTTTCCTTCTCCCAAGATTGAGCCCACCACTTTGCATCATTGTGTTCCAGCTTGTGCATCAAACCAGTTATGGACTTTGCAACATTATTATGTTATATGCATATATGAGCTACTCTATTATCTTCTTCTTAAAGGATAAAAAAAACCCTTCAACTCAAACCATGACTAAAATAAAATAAAACACACAGACTCGACATGTACAAATCTCAAAGCAATGAAGTAACTACAAATTTGTCAACATCGTCACTCAATCTTGCTATCATGCACAAAATGCAAAAAAAGGTACAATTGAGAAAAAAGTGGGTCTAAGAGCATCTCCAAGAGTTTCCAAAATCCACTTTCAATCTTGATTTTTTGGTAAGATTGAAAAAAAAACATCCTCCAACAACTCCTTACTACCTCAACTCCTAGTTTTTTCTGCACTTGAGAGAATCGATCCAATGGCACGGAAAATATATATGCACCTTTATCGGTCGACCAGTCTACAGATGGAAGGCCGTGGGGAAGAATATAGAGTAAGGACATGGTTTCTAATGCAAATATATAAGAGAGAAAGAAATCATAAAAATAAAAATAGTTAGGACTCCTAGTGTAAAATTGTCTTTTATATCTTAGGAGCTATATGCTCTCACCTTTAATTATAAGCCACCTGGAAAACTCATTGATTTACCAATTGTGTAACGCCCCAAGCCCGGCACACGGCACAGGCCCACTCTACCGAGCGGTGGGCTCCACCTACGTAGCAACCCGTTTGAGCTTTTGTCCTCGCTTCGCGTAAAACGGTTAACCGAAGGTTACTACGTGTCCTTGGCCTGAGTATTTAAGCTGGTTCGACGAACTCAGAACTACCGATACAGTACTAAACTTTTGGTAGCTACAGTGTTTTCCGCAGATACAGTACTTGGTGCTACAATACCAGAAATCGGTCCGGCCCAATTTGGCCCAATGGGCTGGGTCTCACAAATTATTATTTATAAACTCTTTGAGGTGCTCAAAATTCCTGAAACTGAGCTGGTTAGACCATGGCCGGAATGGTTTATTCTGTTGCCCATTCTAAAATCTGGTGTAAACACCTTGCTAAGTCCCTATGTTACTTTTTTTATTAGTTTGTCGGGTGCCACCCACATTGCTTATGGATGTTTCAGAGTTATACTAAATTGTGCTTCTAGTTTGTATTTTATGGATTTAGAGTATTTCCAAGAGCTTGTAAAGTCCACTCTTAATCTTTTTTTTTGACAAGATTAAAATAGCCCGTTCTCCAACAACCCCTATCTCAACTCCAATCGCACAAAAATATACACACGCTTATGCTTATCGATGGAGTAATCTAGAGGTGGAAGGGTGTGGCGAAGAATAGGGAGTAGGGCAAGGTTCACAATACAAATGTATAAGAGAAAAAAATATAAAAAATGATTAGGGTTTTTGTAAATAGTTCAGAATTCGTGATGTAAAATTGTCTTTTATATTTTATGAATGGCATTTTGGCAACTCCAGTCCCAACAAATATGCTCATAACTTTTTAGGCACTTAAAAAACTCATTGATTTATTACCAATTATTTTTTAGACTCCTGGAGATTCTATTAACAAACATATCTATACTTTATTTGTTTTTCTATCATCTATTAAAACTAACAATAAATCTCTTGTCGTTCCTTCCAGCGGCGCCGGACCTGGCCCCTAAGACTCCCAGAGCCTAGGCCCATGTCGTTGGCTCAATAATTTTTTTAGGAAAAAGTCCACATTACCTCCCTCAATTTTCGTGAAAGTCCGCTTTTCCTCCCTGAACTTCAAAACCGAACAAAACACGTCCCTCAACTTTTAAAACCGTTCATCTTACCTTCCTGTCCCTGTTATAAGCGGTTTGAAGGAGGTTTTGTCTTTTTATTTTTTTATTTATTTCGGCTGAATCTTTGAAAAATCATAGTAAATCACAAAAAAATCATAAAATGGAAAATCTAATTTTGTTGGACTCCACATGAGTAGATCTACACAGTGAACATATAATATGGTATGCTTTAGTACGAAGTTTTTGCTATGGCTTTAGATTTATATTTTTCTATAATTAAATTGAATAATTCATAGCTGCAATTTCTATGGTCCAATTGTGGTGAAATTTTTATGGTGAGCTAATTATTGTATGCTTAAACTATAGTAAAAATTTTATATTCATTGGATCATGTATAACTTAGTTATTTATTTTTTCTATCGTCTATTAAAACTAACAATAAATCTCTTGTCGTTCCTTCCAGCGGCGTCGGACCTAAGCCCTAAGGCTCCTGGAGCCTAGGCCTATGTCGTTGGCTCAATAAATTTTTATAGAAAAAAGTCCACGTTACCTCCCTTAACATTCGCGAAAGTCAGTTTTTCCTCCCTGAACTTCAAAACCGGTCAAAACACATCTCTCAACTTTTAAAACCGTTCATCTTACCTCCCTGGCCCTGTTATAAGCGGTTTTAAAGGCGGTTTTGTCTTTTTCTTTTTTTATTTATTTCGGCTGAATCTTTGAAAAATCATAGTAAATCACAAAAAAATCATAAAATGGAAAATCTAATTTTGTTGGACTCCACATGAGTAGATCTATACAGTGAACATATAATATGGTATGCTTTAGTACGAAGTTTTTACTGTGACTTTAGATCTATGTTTTTCTATAATTAAATTGAATAATTCACATCTGCAATTCCTATGGTCCAATTGTGATGAAATTTTTATGGTGAACTAATTTTTACTACAGTTTAAACATACAATAATTAGCTCACCATAAAAATTTCACCACAAATATGAATTTTTTGAATTGGATTGTAAACTGAAATGAGAAACATGGACGATGGACCTATAGATTCTTCACAACGATCAATCATCAGATCGATTTAAAAAATGTATCTTCGTTTTAGTTATTTCTATGTGTGGCATTAATGGGAGCCTACAGAGTAGGGTAGAGGTGTTATGGGCAATTTTGACTGTTAGATAGAAGCACTAGCCTTTGAACAAATCCTGTGTCCGCCACTGGTTTCTTCTCAAAGGCTTTTCTGTGTTTATTTGGACATCGATCGTAGCATCTACAATGCAACGTGATTCATGGAAACGGCACAGCAGTATTTGGCTCAGCTAGGGATAGTAGATGTGCAGATGGATGTTGTTGAACATCCGGCGCACAAGGGTCCAATGTCCGAACAATGGAAACACAGGTACTGTACGGTCCAATGTTTGGACTTTGGAGGGTGTCCATCGGCGCGCATGCATGATTCTAGGCTTGTAGCAGTACAAAAAATAGTTTGCTGACTACTAGTGGGATGGAAAACCTTAATTTCAAAGTTTCCCGCTGCGTGCAGCACAGCATCAAGATCAGTAACAACAATGTCGATCGACAAGAAGAAGAATTAATGAAGCTAGGCAAGCAGACTCTTTTGGCACATGGTGGTTCCCTGGAAGCTCAGGATGGCGTGCTCCGCCGCGATCTCCATCATGTCGGAGTGGGTCATGGGGTGGAAGCCCAGTGAGCCTGTCCACATGGGCAGGAGCTCCGCCACGGCTGGCAGCACCAGCCTGCGGACGCCCGCCTGACGCAGCACCTTCTGGAGCTCCGTGACGAGGAGGTGGCACATCCCCTGGCGGCGGTGCGCGAAGCGGGTGCCCACCAGAGGCAGCTCCGCCACGTCGGTCCCGAACACCCGCAGCGTCCCCACGGTGATGAGCTCGCCGGCTTTCTCCAGGCCCACCACGTAGTACCCGCGGAAGTTGAGGCGGCGCAGCTCCGACTCTCGGTTGAAGACGATGTCGGCGGTGAGGTCCGTCTGCGTGCGGGGCTCGATCAGGGTCACGAAGCACTCGTGGAGCACGTCCAGCGCGGAGCACAGCTGCCCGTACTCTGCGGCGTCCGTCGTCTCCTCCTCCTGCTGTTGTCGTCGTCGCCGCCGGCGCAGAATGTTGAGTGATACACCTTCTACTGCAGTGGGGATGCCCGCCGCCGCAGCAAGGCCCTGCAGATGCTGGAATACCTTGCTACATTCGGGACTGCAAAGCCACGGCCAGTGTCCTTGTTCCTCTAGTCGCCGGCACCACTCCGCTGCGCTTTCTTCTTCCTCGGGACCTCGTCGTCTCACGCATCCCACATGATCTGTTTGTAGTTTGTTCATTCATTTGTCAGCAATTATACTTCCATACAAAGTAGAGAATATAAACACACTACTAGTAAGTAGTAACAACTAGTAGTAGAATTAAAGCAGAAAGTAAGTAACCGGCCGGAACGGAAGGAACGACTTACATTCACGCTCGCATTGCTCGCAGTAGATGATGGTCTTGTCCGTGAACCCAGCGGTGGTATCGTGATCGAAGTCGCTGCCGCCGCACACGCCGCATCTGCACGACGGACAGAACCAGTCGCCCTCCGGAGTGTCCTGCAGGCCAACGCAGGCGTGATGGAACGCCGACGGGCAGTTGTCGCAGAGCAGTAGCTCGCCGCCGTCGTTGCAGATGGAGCATACGGAGTCGCCCTCCGGGTCGCTGCATTTCTCCTTCACCCTCACGCCGCCATTCCTAGCCGCGACGACGGCGACGTCGCGCTTCATTAGCTCCACCAGGCACTGCGACAGGGACCTGCCGTCCTTGAGGAACACACATGCCCAGGCCTCACGGCGGTCGGTCACGGTCCCCCGGCGTGCGGTGGCGTGTGCCGCGAACTCTGCCACCGTGAAGGTCTTGTTGCAGCACGTGCATCTGATCCCCTCGCCGGTGATGAACCCGTCCCTCGCCGCCGGCCCATGCCTCGCCGCCCTGTACGTCACCTTGTCCCTCGGCACCACGATGTCCTTGTCGACGAGCACCGACAGGAGCGTCCGCGAGCGACGCTGGCACGCCGACGCCGACGCCGACGCCGTGCTGTTGGGCCGCAGGACGCGCGCTTGGCTCTTGGAGGCGGTTGCTTTATTCCTCCTCTTCTTCCTGGTCAGGGTGGTCGTGGTGATGGATTTCTTGATGAGCTGGGTGCCACCGGCGCCCACCACTTGACAGCACGTTTCCTTCTTCTTGATGGTGGTGCATTTCTTCATCGTCACGTTCACGGCGTCGTCGCTGCCGTCGCCGATCAGTTCGGATAGTTTCCTTTTCTTCCTGATCATCACAACCGGGCGGCAATGGCTGGTGCCGCCGTCTTCGTCTCCAACTCTGCTGGGGCGCACAGCACGCAGTATGGTGGCAGGAGTCGCATGCACCCGGCGTGTATCAATCTTGCTGCTGCTGTTGGAAGCCGAGGCCGTCGTCGGCAACGCGGCTTGCCGGCTGGTCTTGAAGGCCTGGCAGGCGGTGTGGAGGGAGATGTAGGAGCGTCCGGTGGGCGCCCTGTAGCGCAGCTCCTCCCTGCCGTTGCTCTTGAGCTTCATCCAGAACGTCCACCCGGCCGACAGGAGGTGCCTCTTGGCGCTGTCGCGCAGACGGTTCGCCCTGCGGCCCCTGGCCCGATCGTTTGTCGCCATGAGCGCGATGTACTCGGCAATGACGGCGTCCTTCTTCTGGTCATCATTGCCGCCGTCTTCCTCCTCCGCCGGCTCATCGTCGTCTTCCTCCTCCGTGTCATCATCGACTTCCTCATCGTCGCCTTCTTCTTGCTCCCTGCTGCCGCCCCTGCTGGAGTCCTTGGTTTGTGGCGGAATAATCTGATGCTGCTGCTGCTGTTCAAACTGAGAGGAGGCGGCGGCGGCGGCGCTATCGCTATCGACGATGAGGTGAGAGGCGGCGGCTCTATCGATGATGAGGTCCGGCAGGGAGCAGTAGGATTTGTCGTCATCTGGCGCCTTGTAGCGGAGCCTCGTCAACATGGCGGCGTTGGGCCTGGACAGGATCGTCCACCCCAGCGCGAGCAGGTGCTTCTTGACCGCGGCCCTGAGGCCCTCGTCTCTGCGGCGTACGCGGGAGGACAGGTCCCTGCGGCCGTGGTCCGTCTGGAGCAGCTCGGCCACCTGCGGCGAGAACTCGGCGTCCAGCACCGCCGGCTGCCATGGTTTCGAAGCGGCGGCCGCCTTCGTCATGGTGTATGGTGATTTGATCGACGACGATACAGTAAGATCTTGTGCCCAACAAGAACCACCACTAAACAAGGAACATAGTACTCCGCCGCAGCCTAACCTTATATAGAACCGAGACGAGACCGCAGGAGAAGATGAATATGGAGTTCGACACGGTTACGGTTGCGTTGCGGACTCCATTGAATTCAATTCCTCCCTCAATCCGTTAGCGGCAAGGAATTAGGAACGCAGCAAACTCAAGAGGAACTCGTAGCCTAGTAGTCACAACAGACCGGACGATCGGGTTCCGACTCTCTCTGGGCCCATGCAAGCCCAATTCGCACCAACAACGGCCCAGGCCCACTCGGTCTTCTTCCACGCCAGTACGCCACCGTCCAGCCGTTTCGCTTTCGATTCGACTTCAACTTGGAAGCAGTCAGCGACTCACCTCGTCGTCGCCGTCGCCGTGCACATAGATGTTCGCCAAGCGGCTCTTCCACAAGGCACTCGTGCATCATCAGGTCCCTCCCTCCCTCCCCACCCCCATCCTCCTCCCTCCCTCGCTCCATTCCATCTTTCGATTTCATCCAACTACCTGCCGCGTCCTTTCTGCTAAAACTACACTGGCAGCTCAGGTTTGCGGAAGCGGAACCGGAATCCGCCCGGCGTGGATGCTTGTCATGGCTTCACCACACCTTGCTGCTTCTGCTTCTGATTCCGTTGCTTTGCTGCTGTTGCTGGATTGCTGCAGGGAGGGGGAGGATCAGCCTCAGCACCGGCATCACCTGGGGATGTCATCCAAATGGACGCACAGATCTCGACTCACTGCGGGGTGCCCTACACAGCATCACTGCTCGCCTTCGATTCCGTCCAGCGCCTCCTCGCTGTCGCAACTCTGTGAGCTCCCTTCCAAACTTCGCCTTCACATCACAATCAACCCTTTCAACTAAACCACTCGCACACACTAATTTATGCCCCCCGCGCCCCGCGCCCGCCCCCCCCCCGTATCGGTTACTTGCGGTTGCGGTATAACAGAACAAAGAAACTACTTTCCCTTTGCATAAACATGGAAACAAGTTCTTTAGTTTCTCTTGTTGTATATGTCTCAGAGACCTAGCCCTTATTTTAATACATCAACAAAGCTGATGGTAATTGTATGGAGATATTTTCATCACTGTTGTATTTCAATCTACCATACTGTTCATTTTAACCCTGTCTATTGTTATGTAGATGCTGATAGTTTTTCTGTGCTCCAAACTGCAGGGATGGTAGGATAAAAATATTCGGAGGTGATAACATTGAAGGCCTCCTTATATCACCAAAGAGTGTGCCATACAAGTTTTTGCAGGTTCGGCTCTTAACTATTTCTCTTGCTGCTTATTATGTACAACAGGCAACACCAAGTCCAAGTTGTTTTTTCATTTTTGGTTTCTAACAACTAATGTTTTGCTTCTTTACAGTTTATTACAAACCAGGGGCTTTTGGTTGCAATTTCCAATGAAAATGAAATCCAGGTGAGCCATTGACAGATGCCAAAGTTTTTCTGCATTCAAACTCTTTTTTTTTCTAATTTGGGGATTCTGGAGCCTGGAGCTCATATGTTAACGTCATCTATGTGGTGCTCATGTGTTGGTTCATACTGTAAGTTTCTTTATTACTCGTTTGATGATACTAATAGGCGCTTTGTGCGGAGGATTCAAGAATCGGAGGTCAGAGAAGTCTTGAAAAGGATGAAAGAGGGCAGAGCGATGGGCCCTGATGGTATCCCAATCAAGGTGTGGAGATGTCTTGGGGATATAGCTATAGGATGGCTAACCAAGATGTTCAACAATATCTTTCGATCGAACAAGATGCCTGAGGAGTGGAGAAGAAGCATATTGGGACCAATCTACAAGAACAAGGGAGATATCCAAAGTTATACTAATTATCGGAGAATTAAGTTGATGAGCCACACTATGAAGCTATGTGAGAGAGTCATCGAGCAGCGCCTGCAAGGAACGACGCAGATATCAACAAACCAATTTGGTTTCATGCCCGGAAGGTCAACCACAGAAGCAATCTTCTTAATAAGACAAGTTATGGAACGGTTTAGAGAGCAGAAGAAGGACCTCCGCATGGTTTTCATTGACTTGGAGAAGGCTTATGACAAGATACCAAGAAATGTTATGTAGTGGGCTTTGGACAAACATAAAGTCCCATCAAAGTACGTGACCCTCATTAAGGACATGTACAATAATGTTGTGACTAGTGTTCGAACAAACGATGGTAACACAGATTAAAATTGGACTTCATTAAGGGTCAGCCTTAAGCCCGTATCTCTTTGCCTTGGTAATGGATGAGGTTACTAGGAACATACAAGGGGATATCCCTTGGTGTATGTTGTTCGTTGATGATGTAGTGTTAGTGGGCGAAAGACAGGCGGGAGTAAATAGGAAACTAGAGTTATGGCGGCAGACCCTTGAGTCTAAAGGTTTTAGATTGAGCAGAACTAAAACCGAATACATGAGATGCGACTTTGGCGGAGCTACACAGGAGGAGGGAGATGTGAGTTTGTAACGTCAAGTAGTGCCTAAGAAGGATACCTAAGTGTTGCAGAAATACGTATGTTGTGATGGATTTGTGGTCACACAAGAATGGACCGAGTTTGTAACGATGATATACGTGATCGCCTAGAGGTAGCACCAATTGAAGAAAATCTTGTCCAACATCGGTTGAGGTGGTTTGGCCATGTCCAAAGGAGACCTCCAGAGGCACCAGTGCATTGTGGAGTTATAAGCCAAACCAATAATATGAGGAGAGGTAGATGAAGACCGAAATTAACATGGGGGAGGCAATAAAAAGAGATTTGAAAGCTTGGGATATACCTATAAATCTATGTTTGAATAGGAGTGCTTGGAAAACAGCTATTAAAGTGTTTGAACCGTGACTTGGGGCTCTTGGTGGGTTTTCACTCTAGCCTACCCCAACTTGCTTGGGACTGAAAGGCTATGTTGTTATTGTTTGAAGACAACCTGTGAAAAAAATAAGTGACTTGGCCAATCTAGGAGGAACTACCTAGCCCCTGAAATCTATAAGCATGTTATCTAGTAGTGTTAGTGACCATTTTATATATGATATATATCTGTCTTGTAGGTATGGAATCTTGAGTTCAGGCAACTATTTTATTCGTCCCAGTGGGACGTCAACATTACTGCTTTTGCAGTCATAGAGGGGACCTTTATGATGTAAGCTACAGAAACGACTACTTATTTATTTGAATATCATGTGTACTTAGTTTGGCTTTTGTATTCTAAATTCTCGCTTTGTATTCAGGTACCTTGGAGATGAGAATGGTCTTCTTTCTGTATTGAAGTATGATGTAGATGATGGGAAGCTTCAAATAATGCCATACAATGTTCATATCCATTCTTTAATTGGTATTACCTCTACGCCTTTCTTGCCAAATTTTAACTAGAACTAGAATGTTTCTTCCAGTTGCTTCTGTTGATGCCAAAAAACTGGTGGTGTTGCTGCTGCATGAAGTTAAAATGTTGAAGAAAACTCCGTTCCTGAGCAAAGATAATTATAGTTTATATGATGTTAGTCACAACTGCATGAGCAAATGATTTGAGTCAATAGAAATTTTAGTGAACTTGAGAATGCCGTCAATATTCATAACTTACTGCAATTTTAGTGTATTGAGCATGGCCATCAATATTCATAGCTTACTGTAACTTTCTGCTATTTATTCATTTACTTGGACTAGAAGCATGCTTACTGTTTACGCATTGAGGTTCAAAGTTAATATCTTAGCATTCAGTTCTTTTTTTTTTTCACAGAAAGAGCTGGTGTTTCGTTACAGGATCCTCAACCTATTGTTGGAATACTGATCCAGCCTGAAACTTTTGGGACAAGGTAAGGTCTATGTAACTTGTAGAACTTTGGTTGATATCCACTAGTTATTTTTGGGATCTTTACGAACATATCTGTTGATAGGTGATAGTAACGAATATTAGGATGGTCAGACTTCGCAACTCAAAATAGATATATGGAAATTATGGTATTATCCTCAGTTCATCACTTTGTTTTCTTATACGTTAAAGCAATTAAGGGATCCATAACATGTCCTAGAATACCGTAAATAAGGTTTTTATGCAAGAAAGTTTGAAAGAAGAATGATGGCTTTGTTTTCACCCGTTATTCTCATGTAGAGGAAAATTTATTTTGTGAACCTGGAGCACTGAAGAATAATAGCCTTTATGCAGGTTGCTAATTGCATATGAGAGAGGGTTGTTAGTTCTTTGGGATGTATCTGAGGACCGTGCAGTTTCTGTTAGAGGCTACGGGGATTTACACATGAAGGGTCAAATCGATGGTGCTCAGAGGGATGCTGGTGAAGATCAACTAGATACTACTATTGATGATAGTGAAGAAGAAAGAGAAATTTGCTCTCTTTGTTGGGCATCGAGAGAGGGCTCAACTGTTGCTGTGGGCTATATAACTGGAGACATACTTCTATGGGATATGACTACAAGATCGTCCAGACAAGGCAAGCAAAGTGACGTTTCATCTAATGTTGTTAAGCTACAGCTGGCCTCAGGGAGTCGTAGGCTTCCTGTTATTGTCTTGCATTGGTCTGCTGGATCAGCAATACATTCTACAAAGGGAGGGCATCTTTTTGTATATGGCGGTGATGATATGGGATCTGAAGAAGTTCTCACGGTTTGCCTATTTTTTCTTTCTCATTGTTACAATTTCCTTTTCTTTTGCATGCCATCGTAGAGGCATTGCTGTGCACAATTGATGCCTTCTTAGGTTAACATTGTACTTTTTCGCTGCTTTACAAATTTGGTAAAATGAATTCCTAGCTCAGTGAACTCAAATCATAATCACCTGGCTGTGAGATGTGTTTAGTGTAGAGACACATTACTAGCTTGGCATGGCAACATAGCCAACATGGGTTTGCAAGAAACATGATCAACCATGAGAATTTCCTGCAATTATAAAGAACTGTTTCCCAGGCAGAACCCATTTGGGGCGCCTTTGGTGTCCCAGCATAGCAGGTCCCAAGCCTTGATAAAGGAGGAGGGTTGTGTTAGGCGCGGCGAGCCAATGTAAAAACTTAGTCGCTTTTATAGAGATGAAACCCAAAAGAATCTCGTTGGGGCGTAACCCTCTTAGCGATGCGCCATGTCGGAACCCGGGTATGGTGTTAAATGAGCAAGGGCTGGGTCGTCACCCCCGTGACGCGCCGTGTCGCGATCTGGGCATGGTGTCAAGTGAGCAAGGATCAGGTCGTCGCATCCTCAGTGGCACGCCACATCGGTGTCCAGGTGTGGTGCAAAATGAGTAAGGGTCTTCACACCTACCTCGGCGGGTGCGAAGGGTAAGGAAGCTAGTCGAGCCAACTAGGATCCGTTTAGGTAGCTGGAATGTAGGGTCCCTTACGGGTAAGTTAAGAGAGTTAGTGGACACAACGGTTAGGAGGCGTGTAAATATCTTATGCGTCCAAGAGACTAAATGGAAGGGGCAGAAGGCGAAGGAGGTGGACAATACCGGCTTCAAGCTCTGGTACACAGGGACAACTTCAAATAAAAATGGAGGAGTTTTGATTGATAAGAGCCTCAAGGATGGTGTGATGGAGGTGAGAAGGCAAGGGGATAGGATCATCTTAGTTAAACTTGTCATTAGTGATATGGTCTTAAATGTAATTAGTGCGTATGCCCTCCAAGTAAGCCATGATGAGAGTGCTAAGCGGCTCTTCTGGGAAAACTTAGATCGCTTTGTTAGAGCCACCCCTAGTAGCGAGAAGCTCTTTATAGGAGGTGATCTTAATGGCCATGTAGGTATATCAAGTGCAGGTTTCGAGGCGGTTCATGTGGGTTTCGGATATAGTAGTAGGAACCAGGAGGGAGAGGAAGTCTTAGACTTCGACATAGCTTTTGATCTGATGATAGCTAACACTTTCTTTCGTAAGAGACAGTCCCATTTAGTGACCTTTAGTAGCGGCCAGTACTCTAGTAAAATCGACTTTGTCCTTACAAGGAGGGATAAACGAACATGCGTGGACTGTAAGTTGATACCTGGAGAATGTGTGGTCGCTCAACACAAGCTGATGGTGGCTGACTTCCGCTTTCTGGTGCAAGCTCGTGGAAACAAACAAGCTAGAGTTGCTAGAACGAAGTGGTGGAAATTAGAAGGGGAGGCATAAAAGGTCTTTAAGAAAAAGGTCATTGAAGAAGGCTCTTGGAAGGATGAAGGCGATGCAAACAACATGTGGGAGAAGATGGCAACATGCGTTCGGAAGGTTACTTCAGAGGTGCTTGGAGTGACCAAAGGGAGCGGATGTGACTCGAAAGACACTTAGTGGTGGAATGAAGATGTGCAAAAGGCTATTAAGGAAAAGAAGGAGTGCTATAAGCGTTTGTATCATGACAGGTGTGCAGACAACATAGAGAAGTACAAGGTAACAAAGAAGACTGCAAAACGAGCGGTGAGGTAAAGAGGCGGGCCTATGAGGACCTTTACCAATGTTTGAGTACGAAGGAAGGAGAGAATGATATTTACAGGATGGCTAGGGCTCGCGATAGGAAGACAAGGGATTTCAACCAAGTCAAGTGCATAAAGGATAAGAGGGAGCAACTCTTGGTGAAGGAGGATGAGATCAGACATAGATGGCAAGAGTATTTTGATAAATTGTTCAATGGTGAGAACGAGAACACCACCGTTCAGCTGGACGACTCGTTTGATGACACTAATAGGTGCTTTGTGCGGAGGATTCAAGAATCGGAGGTCAGAGAAGCCTTGAAAAGGACGAAAGAGGGCAGAGCGATGGGCCCTGACGGTACCCCAATCAAGGTGTGGAGATGTCTTGGGGATATAGCTATAGTATGGCTAACCAAGATGTTCAATAATATCTTTCGATCGAACAAGATGTCTGAGGAATGAAGAAGAAGCATATTGGTACCAATCTACAAAAACAAGAGAGATATCTAAAGTTGTACTAATTATCGGGGAATTAAGTTGATGAGTCACACTATGAAGCTATGGGAGAGAGTCATCGAGCAGCGCCTGCGAGGAACGACATAGATATCAACAAACCAATTTGGTTTCATGTCCGGAAGGTCAACCACATAAGCAATCTTCTTAATTAGACAAGTTATGGAGCGATTTAGAGAGCAGAAGAAGGACCTACACATGGTTTTCATTGATTTGGAGAAGGCTTGTGACAAGATACCAAGAAATGTTATGTAGTGGGCTTTGGACAAACATAAAGTCCCATCAAAGTATGTGACCCTCATCAAGGACATGTACAATAATGTTGTGACTAGTGTTCGAACAAACGATGGTAACACAGATTACTTTCTGGTTAAAACTGGACTTCATCAAGGGTCAGCCTTAAGCCCGTATCTCTTTGCCTTGGTAATGGATGAGGTTACTAGGAACATACAAGGGGATATCCCTTGGTGTATGTTGTTCGCTGATGATATAGTGTTAGTGGACGAAAGACAGGCGGGAGTAAATAGGAAACTAGAGTTATGGCGGCAGACCCTTGAGTCTAAAGGTTTTAGATTGAGCAGAACTAAAACTGAATATATGAGATGCGACTTTGGCGGAGCTGCACAGGAGGAGGGAGATGTGAGTTTAAAAGGTCAAGTAGTGCGTAAGAAGGATACCTTTTGGTATCTGGGATCGATGCTACAGAGGGATAAAGATATTGATGCGGACGTTAGCCATAGAATCAAAGCAGGGTGGATCAAGTGGCGACGAGCTTCTGGCATTCTCTGTGACGAGGGTACCACAAAAGCTAAAAGGCAAGTTTTATAGAACGACGATTAGACCGGCTATGTTGTATGGAGCAGAATGTTGGCTTATAAAGATTCGACATGTTCAACAACTGAGTGTTGCAGAAATGCGTATGTTGCGATGGATTTGTGGTCACACAAGAATGGACCGAGTTCGAAACGATGATATACGTAATCGTCTAGGGGTAGCACCAATTGAAGAAAAGCTTGTCCAACATCGGTTGAGGTGGTTTGGCTATGTCCAAAGGAGACCTCCAGAGGCACCAGTGCATTGTGGAGCCTAAGCCAAGCTAATAATATGAGGAGAGATAGAGGAAGACCGAAATTGACATGGGGGAGGCAATAAAAAGAGATTTGAAAGGTTGGGATATACCTAGAGATCTATGTTTGAATAGGAGTGCTTGAAAAGCAGCTATTGAAGTGCCTGAACCGTGACTTGGGGCTCTTGTTGGGTTTTCACTCTAGCCTACCCCAACTTGGTTGGGACTGAAAGGCTATGTTGTTGTTGTTGTGGTGGTGGTTCAGGTCTCAGTAGCCAAATAATAATGTATACATGTATACATACCTATCAGAATCACTTTCATGAACATGGAAGAACATAATCTTTTTAATTGTTTCCCAAATCTTGCACTGCAGAAAACTTTGGCCTCCGTCAGTGACAAAATTGTCATTCTCTTGCAGGTTCTTAGCCTGGAATCGACTGCTGGATTAGAATCAGTGAGATGCATGTCACGAACAGACCTCAAGCTTGATGGATCCTTTGCTGATATGATTCTTATTCCTGATACTGGGGTTCCTGATAAAAGCAGAACTTCCGCACTTTTCATTTTGACAAATCCTGGACAGCTGAATTTTTATGATGGTGGTTCTCTATTTTCTGTGCAAAATTCAAAAGAGGGAAACCCTCTACCAGAAGCACAGAAATTTCCAGCTGCAATTCCTACCATTGACCCCAACATAACGGTCACTATTCTTTGTTCACTAACCAAAAGTGAATTTCCAAATATTTCACTGAAGGTGCATTCTGCTTAAATTTGGATATTATACTCTTATCTAGATATCATCATTACTTATGTAAGACCATTTCGCTGTGGAATTTCTGTAGAAATTTTGTGTTAGGAAAGATGCTGGGTGTTTCATACCAGCGAACATGAAATGGCCTTTGACTGGTGGGGTTCCGAGTGAGATGTCGCTGAACAAAGATCATGCTGTTGAAAGAATATACATTGCAGGCTACCAAGATGGTTCTGTGAGAATATGGGATGCAACATTTCCTGTTTTAATGCCAATGTTTGTCTTGGATGGACAGGTCAGTCTCATTTATATTTATATTATTACTGGCATTATCCCTCATTGGCTTATAATTAACAATTAACCCCAATAAAGTTGTAACAATTCTTTACTGCAGGTTGCTGATGTTAACTTGGATGGAGCAAATGCTTCTGTATCATCTCTAGCTTTTTGTTCACTAAACATGACTTTGGCTGTTGGGACAACAAGTGGTCTGGTTAGATCTTGTCAAATTTGTGGGCTGGTCGAAAGGTTGGTCATTGGTATCATTTTTAATAACTCTTTTTTATATCATTCTTTGTAGGTGCGCATCTATAAACTTCGAGAGCACACTGGGGGTTCAAGCTTTCACTTTGTGAGTGAATCTAAGCAAGAAGGTAAATATTTCAGTATGGGACGCTGATGGCAGATGCCTAAAGTTTCACCTAGTGATTTAACCCCCTTCCCCCCCTCCCCTCTCTCTCTTTTGTTGAATGGCATACATGTTTTCTGTGTGAAAGTATTGCTGCCATCCTTGTAAAGACAGTGTTACGCCAATTTTACTTCCTTTCACCAGCACACACAAGATGCCTGTCATGTCTGGTAGTCTAACAAGCAGCAGCCATAACATCTTCTTTGACGGATGAGAGACAGTAAATGGGTACTGTCACTTACCTGAATGTTTATTAATGAAATGAAAAAAAATTGAATAATTATGATTGGGCATTTTGCAGCGTAAACCTTGCTTATGCATCAGCCATCAGCTACCATGTTCAACATTGACAGAACCTGCTCATGTTATTTTTCACAGAAAGTTGAAATCACTTGTTCCTTTGCAAAAAATTGTAGGAAGTTCTGTAGTAAGCCGGTAGGGAAACTCATGCTAGGCCTATAAAGTTCTCTCTTTGAATACGCTTCATTATATTTTCATTAATAACAGACACTCTTCTTGTTTTTTTTACAGTTCATGTTGTTCATCATAGGAAGGGATTTCATTGTTATGTTGCCTTTTTGTCATCAAATTCCTCAGTGCGATCTCTATTATTTATGGCTTCAGGAGAGCTCCTTGCCGCAGGCTATCAGAACGGTCAGGTACATTCTTCCTATTTTTGTAATATAAATCATGTCCTTATTCCTTAAGATTTCTCAGATTGCACTATTCGCTTGAAACTTGTAGGAATCAACTGTTATTAATTAATCCTTATGTTCTGGTCTCTCTTCTTAAAGGTGGCAATGCTTGATCCAAGTGAGCTATCAATTCTATTCACTGTAGATGGTGCATCAGGAACAAATTCTCCTGTTGTTTCCTTGAGCATTTACAGTGTTGCGGCATCTGCTGCAAAAGCAGACCAGTCAAAGAAAGAGAGTCCTCAAAATGCGAAGTTACCCAGAGATGTTCTTCTTTCCTTGACAAAGGATGCTCGTGTTACTGTACTTGACTGCACAACGGGTGCGATGATAAATTCACATATTATACATCAGAAGCAATCATCAGCTATTTCCATGTATGTCATAGGCAAGTGATTACTATCATTGCATTAAGGAGGCACTTACCTTTTTTTCTTCCTTTAGATCGATACCTAACTTTGCAAGCTTTTGCATATAGATGCAGCTTCAGATGAGAAGCAAACCCAATTATCAGAGGACAAAATTCCAAGTCAAGATCAGGCAGGAAAAGAGGGCAAGGATCTTGACAGAATAGAAACACAAGGAGTTGAAAAGCACCTGAAAAATGCTTCCCAGCTTTCACACAATGGTGGTTCAGATTCACTTGTGGTGTGCTGTGAGGATGTTTTGTTTTTGTTATCCCTGGCATCATTGATTCAGGTGTGTACTGGGCTTTTATTCTTGAATACGCAGGAGAGCTGCGTGTGGGCATTAAGAAGAAGAAACCCAGAAATACAACTCACCCAAAACACACACCTCTCACACAAATCAAATATATGAACTGCTTTATGGAGCTTCCATACTTCCACATCTTACTGGTGATGTTCCTTTCCTCATCAGGGAAGCAGCAAGCATCTACAGAAGACGAAACTTACAAAACCTTGTTGCTGGTCAGCAGTTTTCAAGAATATGGATGGCAAAATTTGTGGGTTGATATTAGCTTATCAGACTGGCATCATAGAAATGAGGTAGTTACAACTTTGCGATGTCTTTTCCTTGTTATACAAGATAATATGGATCATCAATGCAGATTTTACATGTTGACTTCAGGTTTATATATTAGAGAAGGTGTCCTGTGTTTACATCTGAACATATGTTTCAACATAGGGAAAAAAATGTCTTACTGCATGTTAGAGTATATTAGGCAACTCCGGATATGGTTAGTTTAGGATTGATTGTAATCCTAGGATAACCTTCCTTATCTCTAGGAGAGGCTACTTGCCCTCCAAGCCATGTACTCCTATATAATCAGCCCAAGGGGCTCAAGCAATACATCCACACATTATACACCAATCTTACATGGTATCACGAGTCTAGGTTTTTGCTTCACTGCTTGAACCAATAAAGATAAAAGCTGTCAACACTGAACAGTGTCGTCATCTATATTTGGTGCTCAGTTCTCTTCTCTCATCTGGTTCATATCTATCTCACTATGTGTAGAATCCCATGTGAGTATTTTTTGGTATAGATAAGAAAAGATAATCTTAGATTTCAAACCCTTGCAGTTTTCTTGGATTTAAAAATGACATTTTTTGAGAACTTTGCATCTGTTTTACTTACTGGCATATATATTTATACATCCGTGCAAGGAATCGGTGAAGTTTGCTCAGACCATTGACAATTTTACTTTATGATGGGCAGGTCTGTGCCAGATCTGGCTATTGTTGCTGAGAGCCCCTTGATGTCATTATTGAGATGGAGTTACAAGACAGGCATGGATAAATCAGCGAGCTCCTCAAATGGACAAATTACTTTGGTATCTTTTTTCCACTTTCCCCTTTAACCTAGTTCCTGAGGGTTTGGCTGGTGGGTTTCAGATTGGTGTAGTGAACTTTAGTGCCTAGTATGTGTAGTAATTTTGGTTTATATTCTCCATTGTTGTTGCCACACCCTTATCGACCTTATTTTACCCAAACAGAGTATGGATTTTGGTACCTAAAATGGGGGTCATGTTTTGTTTGTGGTGAGCATACTCGAAGGTGGGTTCACCAATAAAACTTGCAACTTATCTGTTTATTCCTTTCTAAAAAGGAAACTAGGGTGCGCCTGTACCATTTGGATTTCGTATGTATTCAGAATTTAAAGAAAAAAACTCATTTTCCTGACATATACTCTCACCAGGTAAATGGATCTGAATTTGCAATTATCTCTCTTATGGCCTCAGAGAATGACTTCAGGTACACTTTTTTGGCATTGTTGTACTGAATGCTGTTGAGAGCAATAGATCTGACTGCTGATCCTGTGGTAATAGGATTCCGGAATCTCTGCCATGCCTTCATGACAAAGTACTCGCAGCAGCTGCTGAAGCAGTTATTAGTTTCTCAACTGATCAGAGAAGAAAGCAGGTATCCATTCATGTCTTCCTGGAAATTGAGCAGAAGCTCGTGTATATTTTGGCTTCACAAGAAACTTCATGGTGCAGAATCCTGCAGCAGGGATTATTGGTGGCTTCATTAAAGGAATGAAAGGCAAGGCTGAAGAAAATGCAAAAATGAGAGAAAGTTTGACTATGCAAACTCCAAGCGAACAGTTGGAGTCAATTTTCTTGAAAGAACCATTTGCTGAACCTTCAATACCCGATCTTGATGATCCGATAGAAGAATTGTCAATCGGTTCTCTTCCTCCTTCCTTATGCATCTTAAAGCAAGCATTTATCTCAAGTGCTCCCTTCCCTCTTGACTTGGGAGTATTGAATGCAGATGACATCGAGATTGATGATGAAGTACCCGTGGCCCTGGCACCAGCAGCATCCTCTACATCCCAAGGGAATAAGAGAACAGCAGGTTGGAGACAATACTAGTACACCTTCTGTTCGAATTACTGGGCCTGTTCGCTGGTTGGTGCTGGTGCTGGTTTGGGCTGGCTGGTGCTGGTTTTTTTTGAGAGAAAAACACTGTTGGCTGGCTAGTTTGGGCTGGCTGAAACCAACAAGCGAACAGGCTGACTGAGGGCTATATTATCTGTTTAAACTCAGTGCATGTTTGTGTTGGCAGTAGAGGAGGAGAGAGCGAAGCTGTTTGAAGGGTCAAGCAATGTTGATAAACCGAGAATGAGAACTCCGCAGGAAATTCTAACCAAATATAAGTTTGGCGGGGTAAGTCATGAACATTGCAATTGGTCATGGTTTTTGCTGTGTATGGGAGCTAAATGTAGGTCCATTGCAGGACGCAGCAGCAGCAGCTGCTCATGCGAAAGATAAGCTGATGCAGAGGCAGGAGAAACTGGAGGTGAAATAGTTGCTTCCAGACTACAGCTGATATCGCTTGTCTTCTTTCCAAGCCCATACTCGGAGCAATATCAAACATGTAATTCTGTTTGTTTGCTTTTTTTAACCAGAGAATAAGCCAACAAACCGCGGAGCTTCAGAATGGAGCGGAAAACTTTGCTTCCCTAGCGCAGGAGCTTGCTAAAACAATGGAGAACAAGAAGTGGTGGAAGCTATAATCTGGTTTTGTACGTATATTGTTGGACACTCACACCCATTGCATGCCATCCGCCGGGTGCTGTACATTAGTATGACTCGCAAGTGCAGTTTGCAGAGGTTTCCTCTGATACGAATCGGGTAGCTAGTTTAGCTTAGGAACGTTGTGATGTGCTGTGTACCGTGTCACACACCAGCACTATTACCATGTAATAATCTCTCTGTGTCCGTATTAAGCGTGCGTCCCGTATCCACTTGGTCATTCTTTTTGGTTTTTGGTGATGTAAAGATAAAAGAGAGAAATAAAAGGAACCCGCTCCTGGTTGCATGAGCGAGCCAGCGCTGAAGAGAGACTGTTCTTTTCGGTGGTTTTTGGTTTGTTTGGTTTCTACTAGTAGTAATCTAAGTCTAGTGTACTCATCTGTGGCTTATTAATGATCTGTTTGCCTCATCTTGTATTATATTATTAAAGAAAAATAAGAAACAATTGCCAGGGAACTGCAACAGTACAGTAAGTGTACTGTTCGTGTTGTCTGGAAGCACGCAGTGGCAGTTCACATCCCTAATAGTTCTGTTAAAGTACTAGAAGTAAAAAAAAAAAGGTAACATTTGCCAGTTTGTTTTTTTTTGACACAAACAGTTGCCAGAATGCCAGTTGAGTGTGGCACTGACAGTAGCGACAACCCCCTCCTGTCCGGTAAGGGCGTAAGGCGGGCGGGGCGACCTGGGCTGGGCCGATGGATCGGAATCGGATCAGCCACCCATTGCCAACCAGGCTCCTCTTCTTCAACGGCAGAGGCAGAGGAGCTTGGCCAAGCGGCGGCTGGACCTGGAGAGCCGCCATGGCACGCCTGCTCCTACCCGTCTCCGTCCCAGTCCCCCATCTCCGCTAGCATTGTGCTGCCGTCGTCGTCTAGTATTGGTACTAGTACCGCGCGGCGCCGGGGCCGCAGCGCCCGCGTCCGCGTCGCTGTGCCCACCACGCGAGGACAAGAAGGACCGGCGTTTGACCCCGCGGCGGCACCACCGTTCGGGCTGGCCGACATCCGCGCCGCCATCCCCAAGCACTGCTGGGTGAAGGACCCCTGGCGCTCCATGGCCTACGTCCTGCGCGACGTCGTCCTGGTGCTGGGTCTCGCCGCCGCCGCGTTCGCCTCGACAGCTGGCTCGTCTGGCCGCTGTACTAGGCGGCGCAGGGCACCATGTTCTGGGCGCTCTTTGTGCTGGGACACGACTGCGGGCACGGCAGCTTCTCCAACAACCCCAGCCCCAACAGCGTCGTCGGCCACATTCTGCACTCCTCCATCCTGGTGCCATACCATGGCTGGTGTGTATTCTACTGTACTGAACTGAAATAGTAGTGATTCAATTCAAATCAATTCTGATGCTGCTTCTCGATCACTTAGCCGATCGACACAAGTTTGACAATGCAATGCAATGCAACTCTGTCTATCTATTGTGCAAGTGCAGGCGGATTAGCCACAGGACGCACCACCAGAACCACGGCCACGTCGACAAGGACGAGTCATGGCATCCCGTACGCCTCCTGCTCCTGCCCTGCAATTATCTTGCATTGCATGTTTGCACTAATAATCTAGGATGATGTATCAGCTCCCCGAGCGGCTGTACAAGAGTCTGGACAGCGTCGTCCTGATGCTGCGCTTCAGGCTGCCCTTCCCCATGCTCGCCTACCCATTCTACCTGGCCAACAGGAGCCCCGGCAAGTCAGGCTCCCACTTCCACCCGGCCAGCGACCTCTTCCAGCTCAGCGAGAGCAACGACGTGCTCACCTCCACGGCGTGCTGGCTCGCCATGGCCGCCCTCCTAGCTGCCACCTTCCTCATGGGCCCTCTGCAGATGCTCAAGCTCTACTTCGTACCCTACTGGGTTTTTGTCATGTGGCTCGACTTTGTTACCTACCTGCACCATCACGACCACAATCGCCCTGTTCGTTTAGGCTTGTTTGACTTATAAGACATGGCTGAAAGTACTGTTGGCTGGTTTGGTGCGAGAGAAAAATACTGTTCATTGGCTGATAAGCCATGGCTTATAAGCCATGGCTTATAAGCCAAATACGACCAAGCGAACATGCTGAATGACAAGCTTCCATGGTACCGAGGAAAGGTAACTTCACTCACTCTCTCTCTTTTTCCCCTAATATATTTACAGGGTACTATATAGCTATTTTACACCAGCAGTATAGAATTACTGACTACTAGGAGAACTAATATAAAGGCCCTGTCACAATTCAGTGCAACTTGAAGATAATATATGCAAAGATGCATGCAGCCACATATATAAATCACCGACTGTTGTTCACAGCTGCAGCTTTCAGTTAATTAATTGTGCTATACTAATGAGCTAGGAATGGACCTATCTTCGGGGTGGCCTGACGACGCTCGACCGGGACTATGGATGGATCAACAACATCCACCATCTCTTCCCGCAGATCCCACATTACCATCTCATTGAGGCGGTAAGTATAACAACTAAATCTGATTCAGCATCCATCCATGTCTGGCAGATTTTAAGCCATCGCATATGTATTTCAGTCACTGAATGATGATGGCTGTGCATGCAGACAGAGGCAGCCAAGCCGGTGCTGGGAAAGTACTACAGAGAGCCGCAAAAGTCTGGCCCTCTCCCCTTTCATCTACTAAGTGATCATGTTCAGAGCTTGAGACGTGACCACTATGTCAGCGACACAGGGGATGTGGTCGACTACCAAACTGACCCAAAACTCCATTAGCTGCTCCATTCAACCGAGGGAGGCTGGGAGTTATGCGATAATGCGAATCGCAAGGATTGGAGGCTGCTGGAGAGATCAATGAGGCAACACACTTGCATTTAATATAATAAGAATAAGTCAAGCCATTCTTTGGGCAAAACAAAGCTACAGTACAATTTCCAAACAGGGAAGAGCAATGCCAGTTCCCTCTAAAGAGTAGACAAACTATGATGCACCATTGCTTTACTATCTGATAGATCTCAGGGCTCGTTAGAACATTAGCACATACTTAGCTGGTACTATTGCAAGAAAGCAATGCCAGTACCTTCACTTACTGCTGTCCTCAGATATGCGGTACATTATTTGACAATACAAATGGCAGTCATGCTCACTACCTGCGCCTTAGATCTCTCTGCAAAAGGAAAACAAAAGAAAAACTTTAAGTTGGAGACATGGAGCTCTTTTCCTGACAAATCATGTATTGCTGCTTGAAGATGATGATGTGTTTATTTTAAAGGGAACATTCTGACAAAATAAATAAATGCAGGGAAATAGAAAATGAAGTACCAAGTCTTCTTTCTGGTTCATATATTGCAATGTATTAAGCTATTACGAATTGTATCGGGTCACCAACCAAACAGAATAGAATTATATATGTACCAACTTTCTGATATGCAACTATTTTGTGCGCAACATCTAAGATTCTTAGGGCACATTTTGATGGGGACAGCAACCTCCTAGAAGCCACAAGCAAGTTGAAATCATATCTAAAAGGGAAGGCTTACTCTTGGGCCACGGTCTGTAACTGGTGTTGCTCTGCTCCCTGTATTATCTGCTTGCTGAATCATCTGTGGACTATCATGCTTATAGAATGCCTGCAAAGTTCTCACCATGAAAGGGCGGACAATGTTCACTTCCATTGCAGAGAGATTTTTGAGCTGCAAGAAGGCAAACAAGATGAATAAGGTATTGTTGGTGTCAGATCAATGAAGCAAGACATTAAGCTAGTATAGGAAACACAGATAAATACAGGAGAAGTGGTAATTACATCCAATTCAATAATAGCTTTGATAGAACGACAGTTGTTTTAGCATCCCCAGTTCTTAAGGGGAAAGGAAATGTTACCTTTACGGCATGGGTGCGTCCAGATATTGTCTCTAATCCAGTCTCAACCTTGTGGAATCTGACATCTCTGATGTCCTCAATTAGAGATCTCACCTGTGTCACAATCAAAACTAGGAGTAAGCATATATTTTTTTTCAACACAATTAGGACTTACTAGACACAACTAACAAATCTGCACCGAGATTGATTAAACACTCACCAGGTATGCATCTGAGATGTCATCACGAGCACTGCAGGAAACAAACGAGAGCGGATCAGGTTTAGGTGAAAAATGTGCTGAAATCGAAGAAACAGGGTAGATATGGGTGCTCACTCATCAAATAGCAGCTTAGAAATTTCAATATAGTGGAATGGTAATGGCTGGAATTCTCGAGGCGACTCTCTTTCCGCTTCCAATACCTGTGTCAAGCGGTCTAGTAGGAACAAAAGCAAGAAACAGATGCTTATGGCTGTGTATGCTTGAGCAGGAATAAAAGGGGAGCAAGCAACAAGGAAGCACTGACCAACAGTCATCCAGTCCGGGGTGCGGATGGTGCACTTGCTACGCTTCTTGAGCGCGACGGCGAGCCAGAGCGGCACCTTGGTGGGAATCTGTGGGAAGAAGGGCCCGAAATCCCCCTGCACGGCGGTGGCAGCAGCAGCGCGAGATGTAAGAATATGTGGGGGATGGGGAGTTGAAAGAGATGGAAATGGGTGGTGGCGGCAGACGCACGCAGATCATGTTGAGGGCGTCCATGCGGATATTGGGGACGATTTCGACGATCTCATCCTCCGCCACGAACTCCACCTGCAGCACAGACAGGACAGGTCCAGAAATTGGGTTGCATCCCACTTCACTTCCCTTCGACGAAGATAGTTTCTGCCTGTAGAGTGTGGAAGGGAAGGGGTTGGTTACCTCGGAGGGAGAGAAGATGGAGAGGTGCGGGTCGGACTGCCCCGCCATGAATGCCCGCCGCCGGAACACCGAACCAGGCTGGCGCCGGGACTCGGGAGAGAGAGAGAGAGAGAGAGAGAGAGGAAATGGAGGCGCTGCGGGTCGGAGAGGACGAGGCGAGAGCGGAGATCGACGAGGACGAGAGCGAGACGGCCAGACGGGGAGAGGAAGCTGCAGGCCGCTGCGCCTCTCTAAACTACAGCCCAATCTGAGGGCCCAAAAGCCCATCCAACAACAGAGCCCAACAGCTGCTGCACGCAGCTTCAGTTCGATTTGGTATAGTCGCCGCAGCGCACAGGCACAGGGCCGACGGCGGCGGGTGAGGCAGCGGTGAGGCGGGGCGCCGCGGTTGCCTTCCTCCCTGCTCCTGCAGTCCTGCTCGGCGCGGGAGAGGTTATTAGGGTTTCCATCTCATCAGCTTTGGCCCCAACGGAAACAGAGGAGGGCGGGCTAGTAGGAACCCGATGCTGGCCGCCCGGAACCCCACTCCGCCGCCCCATGACATTGCCGCGCGCCTCCACCACCTGCGCGACCTCCGCAGGGTGCCGCTCCCCAACCGCGTCGCGCGCATCGCCGATCTCCACACCGATGAGGCCAGCCCCGTGCGCAAGCTTGTCGCCGAGTGAGTTCATCCACTTTCGCCATTCGGCTTCATTTCTAGCTTAAATTACCCATAGTTTCACCTCCAATGTATCCGGCTTGTGATAAAGTCATTGAACATCAAATGACTAGTATAGCCCCCTGTATCGCAAATGAGTTTGCTCCTTCAACGTGCTGATTGCCGGCGGAATTAGGTCAAACCTATACATGAACACGCTTAAAAATACTCTGTTACAGTATTTATTTGCTCATGTTTTTTTACTCTGCAAAAACTCCCCTGGCGTAGGCTCATTGGTGAGCTTGGGTCAAAACACATGGCGTATCTACCTGATATGATCCCTTGTTTGCTGCACCTTCTGAATGATGAGACGCCTGCAGTTGTCAGGCAAGCTGTTAAGACAGGAACCAGCTTGTTTTCCAAAGTACTCCAAAAGCTAGTTATCGAGGTAATTCCATTTCCAGCATTTCCATTTCGAGTTGCCTTCCTGTGCAAACATCTGTTTCAGTTTGCTGGTTTCGGATCCAGGGTTTATTCTCCACTGGAGGGATTGATGATGCACTTAAATCGTCATGGGAATGGCTTCTCAAGTTCAAATCAGTTGTCTCGCACATGGCATTTCAGGCGAGCCCCTCCTTTCTTTAGTAACAAATAGCCCTATCTTCTTGGCCTCCAGTTGTCTCATGTGAAATTTCAATGCCAGGCCATCGGCAATGAAGGTGTCAGGTTACTGGCTGTTAAGTTTGTTGAAAAAACAGTTCTTATGTACACACCAGATCCTAATGTCCCATCTGATCCGCCAACTGAAACTACAGAAGGTGCGGCTTATGTTTCCTTTAATATGGAAGTGAACATATTTTCCATGTTTAGGAACTGTTGGGTGCATGCTGATTTAGGCATCTATAAAACATTTGCAGATATGGGATTCAATGTAGCTTGGTTACGAGCAGGAGGTCACCCTTTGCTTAATGTTGGGGATCTGGCCATGGAAGCCAGCCAGAGTCTTGGATTGTTGCTAGAGCAACTCAAGTCTCCTAAAGTAAAGTCACTCAGTACTTCCATGATCATCGTCTTCATTACTAGGTTTGCCTCTTGTTCACTTGTGTTCTATTATCTTTCTGTATAAGCGGTAGAGTCTTACCGCCTGTGACCGGAAGGTCCCGGGTTCGAGTCGCGGTCTCCTCGCATTGCACAGGCGAGGGTAAGGCTTGCCACTGACACCCTTCCCCAGACCCCGCACAGAGCGGGAGCTCTCTGCACTGGGTACGCCCTTTTTATATTACAGTTTGTACCAGCTGCCGAGCAATTAAGTTTTCTGTGGATGCTGTGTCATCTATTCAATTAGTCTGTTGAAGTATTGCATGCTATTTTGATCTTTATGTATCATGAGTTTTCTCCTTTTTCTTTCCCCTGCTTAGTTTGTTATTTTTCTCTCTTCTAACATAAACTTCTTCCAGTCTCTCAGCTATTGCCCAAAGAAGGCCTTCCTTTTATGGACGCATACTGCCAGTTTTACTTTCCTTGGATCCAGCAAGTTCCATTATTAAATTGAGAGTCCCGGGTGCATTCCATGCCTTGAAGAGTGCCTTCTCTGCATGCCTGAAATGCACACATTCAAGTGCTGAGCCGGTATTTCTTTAAGCTTCGATGATTAACATACACTTCTGTATTGACTAGTACACTCAAGATGTGTCCCTTTGACCTTATTTCTATATATGCAACAACTGGAGTTAACATATATGTTATCTACGGGATGCTATGTTATGTTCTATAGACAGTCTAATTAGGATTTTTCTTTCTTATCTTGTTATTATCGAACTTTAGCCAGTTTGGTGCTGATTTGTTTCCTGAGTGTGGGTCAGCCTGCCGGAACAATGAGTTCGTGTTTCCCTTGTTTTACTGGTATACCTTGAACAATTTTTAGAACTAATTGAAACTCCTTGGTGGAAGTGAGCCATTTAATATCTCACCATCAACGAAAATATGTTGCGTTAACCAATAACCTGTCTATAAGCTGTATGCATGCAATCAATCAGCACTACTTAGTCCATATTCTGAATTGGTTGCTAAGTGTTGTATGCTGCCATTGGTTTCGTTTATTCATGAGTATGTGTGTGGTATAAATATTTTCATTTTGTATTTGAGCTCCATTTGTTTGAGAATGTCTATGTATCCTGTATATTTGGTTGAGGTGCTTTCGTTACTAATTTGAGGCTTTTATTGTACTTTCAGTGGCGAGCACGCCTATTGGAAGCTCAAAATATTATCAACCAGGGGGATTCAATAGAAGATGCAGCAAATGCTGCTAAGAATTTTGGGGACACATCAAACAGGGAAGAATCGTGGCCTTTGATGGTATTTACCTGTTCCTCCATGCTTGCTCTCTCCCTCTCTCATAACTATCTCAGGATGGCTATGTTTCCTTGATAGGAGAGAAGCACTGACGGTAGTAACAAGCGTAGTCTGGCTGAAGACATGAATCATATGACAGAAGATGATCTCCACTCCACTAAAAGAGCCAGGCAATCATCTGATGCTAATGAACACAGTGAAGAGGCAAACAAGAGAAATGTTGAGTCGACGTCTGTTGATATCTCATCTAGCCAGCCCAGCTCTATAAGAACTGGGAATTCAGAAGCTGTGTATCAATTAATTGGTATGTTTGCTGCACTAGCTGCACAAGGTGACAGAGCAGCTGGATCACTGCAAATCCTTTCGTCCAGTATCGCTAGTGACTTACTAGCGGAGGTGGTAATGGTTAACATGCAACATCTCCCAATTTCTCGTCCTGAAGTTGACCAACATCAGCTTCCTTCTACGAGCTCTGGAGATGGACTTCCATTTTCAAGTTTCTTCTTTCTGTTAGGGACTCTACTGAAGGTTTGTTTCTTTAGCTGTTATATTTTGATTTGGTAGATTCTCTTCGCTTTTGTTGATCTTTCACATTTCAGAGAGCGAACCAAATTGATCAAGATGAAGTGTCTCCAGCTAAAGAATCTGCGGTGGTGTCGTCTGTTGCTGATGACATCATGACAGTTCCTGCTAGTTCACCTGTTCCTAGCTCAGTAAATCTACCTATCGAAGAGAACACTAACAGTCCAACAGTTCCATTATGTATAGAAACAACAGAGGCCAAAGTAAGCAGTGCAGGTGGCAATAGTTCGATTGATATTCCAGAATCATCAGAAACTTCCCATGTCTCAACAGAGCCCCAGGGAACCCAAGAGCATGCTAGCACTTTTGTCGGTTCCTTTCCTGCTGATAATTCCTCAGCTGGGTTTAGTTTGGCACAATCGTCAGAAACTCGCAGCCCAAGCTCTTCTACAGTGGAAGCAAACCACTCACAGCTTTCATCCCTTAGTTCACAATATGTTCTTCCGAAGTTGGTTGTCAATAATATTGATCTCAGTGATGAGGCCAAAGATCTCCTTCAAAAAGAGGCGTTTGTGCGGATTCTTGAGAGTGATAAGCAAGAAGCATCTGGTGGTTCAGTTGCTCGCCTTCCGTTGCTTGCTCACTTGGGTGTTGAGGTACTACCTAAGATCTTGTTATTTCCTCAGGTAGAATTGATACTTTTTAACTGTTGGCTTGAACTTTGGTTGGGGATTTTCTACAAACCATAGCTCCTCTCAGAAACATGTGTTAGTTATTGCAATGCTTACATTTCTGGTTCCTTATCCTCCTTATGTACTGTCTAATCATCTTATAGTTATGCACTCAAGATTTCTTTACATTGTTTTTTAAGTGATCTCTCTTTAAATTGTGTTACTTGTTGCAGTTTCCTCTGGAATTGGACCCTTGGGAGATTCTCCAAAAGCACGTGCTCTCTGATTATGTGAATAATGAGGTACCAATGCACAATGTCATATAATTAGTTTCTCTAGCAGATTTTTTAGTCCATTCGGTATAGTTTGTATATATGTTGCATAGCTGTAAATTAGGATGTGTTGGTGACTCTGTTAAAGGAATTTAGTCCTGATTACTCTTGGTACAGTTTGTATATATGTTGCATAGCTGTAAATTAGGATGTGTAGGTGACTCTGTTAAAGGAATTTAGTCCTGCCTACTTTTAGGAATTCCACTCAACTTGCTTCTTCAGAGATTCTGACTCAAATTCTTCCTTAAGCAGGGGCATGAGTTGACTATATGCATCCTGAACCGGTTATATCGTGAGGCAGAGCAGGATCAAGATTTTCTTTCATCTAGAACTGCTACATCAGTTTATGAATCCTTTCTTCTAAACATAGTATGTACGCTTGAAATTGATGTATTTGTTACAAATGTTATTTCTCTTGCATCATGGCAGTACATTTTCTTTTGCATAGGCTGAAAATCTTCGAGACATGTTTCCAGCTTCAGATAAGTCACTTGGCAAATTGCTTTGTGAGATACCATACTTACCAGAAGGTGT